CAAAGGGAATGTCATACAGGTTGGTACGGTAGGTTGTGTCGAATGTAACTACATCACCAAAGAAATTGTACTGCAGCCTGCTGTTTCCCGTAGCCCACATCAGGTTGCTTATTCTGCCCTCATTGTCAGCTTGTACCCGATATGTAAATTGTTGATCCTTTGAACACAGCTCCTAGAAAACTTCCATTGTCTTCCTCACATCATCTTTGGACTGCTCACGGCTTATCTTGCCACACAAAGTTCTCAGTGCTCTTTTCGTGAACGATACATTCTCCATCTTACCGAAGAAGCTCCCGATAATGTTGTACACCTTTGCTAGGTTAACATTGTTTTGCCGCAGCTGCTTCACCAGGTCCATGCTGTACACATTGATATGCTTATGTGACGGCCAGTGTATTGTTTGGTCGTAAGTCTGCGACAGAGAATGGTTGTGCCCATCTCGATGCTCAGCTATGTACCACCCATTGTCCTTGGACCGCAGTAATATCACTAGTGCCGGGCATTCACAGCGACAAGAACGAGTATTTTCAACCATCGGCTTCCCCTGGTGACATTAACAGAGTACCATCATCAGTTAAAACGCACTAAAGATGTGAAAGATGAATTGTCAAAATCTGATGAAGTATTAGTTGTACCGCGCATCCACACACGATCTCTTGGATGCATTTTGTCCTGTTCACATTTAGTCTGCTCTTCCCGTATCTAATTCCAAATCCTTTCTCCCATGAATACAAATTGTAAAAGTCATAAGCTTCACCCAGACTGTCGAAGGTTGTTCCGATTTTTGGCTTGATCATCACTATGTCCCCTGGATGCTCGGCAAATTCCCTCACAGTCTTCTCCAATGCTGTCACCCTGTCCGAGCAAGGGGCCCTGCCTTCAGCGGCGGCTCCCAAACGGACTCTGTTTCCAGAACAGAGTAGACAGCCACATAGTGCACAAGAGTCAGTCAACTTGTTAATTTTACGGTCATCATAACCTACATTACTGTGACACCGCATGCATATACAACCACAGACTAAATCATATCTCTGCATCACGTATTTCCTCTCCAACCACAGACTCCCACTAATTACATACTGTCACAATTTTGAGCACACATATATACCTATGTAACTACATGTCCATGCGAGTTTGCGATTGGGTTTTTCATTTTTCTCCTTACTAAGCTCCACCCGTACTTCTTACTAAGTGAATCACAAATACTGCTTATAGAACTTCAGTAACAATAGCTAATGCAATTGAAGTGTCATATCTGCAGTACCTTTGAGTCCAGCCTGGCGCTTTAGGGTCGACTTGCTGAATTGAGTGCTCGGAGGACTAACGCACGTCAGCAGCTTCTGTCTCCGCCCAATAGATCTGGGCGTCCGCACATGAAGCGGCAGGTAGTGGAAGCGCAAGCTCCGCCGGCGCGGTGACGGGGAACGTCACAGGTTCCATTGTGCCGTTGTTATCGTTCACCTCCTCAAGCAGCGTTCTAGTTTGTTGACAGAAATTTGTCAGCGGCAGAATCTAGATCAGCCCCAACCCCACCCCCCACCGATCCCCAAATCCCTAGTCAAAGCAATTGATACACAATGGTGAATGGAGCAGATCCTTACATGTTTATCGTCTGAAGCAAGAACTCCATGGTCGGCGGAGCGCGTGCGAGGTCGCCTGCTAGGTCGTCGGACAAACGAAGCTCAGCGCCGCAGTTAATCTCTCGACCTCCCCCCTGAACTGGGATCCTAGAGAAATCAACCTTCAGCCCACCTACCACCGCACAGCCAGATAGCCGCATTAACTGCATGCCCTGCCGAAGGCTAGTGGAAACCTCCAGGCCTGATCCACGGATCGGGACGGCGACCAAACCTCGAGCCACGGCTCAGGCTATGTCCCTCGACGGCGTCCACCCCTCCGTCGATTCATGGCCCATCTGTCGGGTGGGTATAGCGACGTATATTCCAATTTCCCACACCACGCGTGCCCCACCTGACAGAATGCCGCATTGAATTCTCCGAGTCTCATAGCTATTATGGACGTGCGCGATACCGAGAGCCTGTGTGCCCGAGCTCACATACTCCACGTCCAATATTCCACCAGTTCCTTGTTGCTAAATAACCTCTTGGTTCACTGAATCGACATAGTACCAATGCACTTGCAATAACATGGACAGGATCATAACAACATTTAGTGGTGAATAGCTTTTGGAAAATGGTGGATGGTAGGTTCCAACTTCCATGGACAACAGATCGCTACATGCATTTGGCTTTCCTGAAACTAATGACATAGGTTGCAATCTATAATTGGCTTGGCTTGGTTAGGAACTTAGGCCAACAAATAATAGTAGTGATACTAATGACAAACATGAGGAATAGGATATGCAGACTTACTGAGTTAGTTTAGACCAGCAGAAATGCTAGATTATGTGTTATGTTTGCAAAGCAAGATTGGAGCCTAGAGGTAAATGTTACTAAAAGCTGTACAGGAAGATCCAGGCTTTTAGGGGTCATTTGATGCACTGATGTTGTCTCCACTTAGACCAGAACAGATGATTAAAAAGGCATAAGGGAAAAAATCACTTCTGTTGTTTATATATCCAAAGAAAAACAACCACATGGCAGTGACAGTGTAGAGATTTGGTCAAACTTTAACAAATTTGAGTTTGGACAAGTCCAGCACTTCAATCATTTTGCAAAGACAACAACAATGGAAAGCTGAAGTACACATGGAAATGAACCAATGAATGGTTTATATAGGTAGGTAGATATACTGATAAGCACAAGAAAAAAATACAAGAGAGGGAGGTGAGCTCAAGCAACAATGTACCACCTACTTCTGTGACTCGCATCAATGCGCAACAATGTACCATCTACTCTACTGACTCGACCACCAACCTCGCCCCCCTTGTTGATTCTTTCCACCCCCATTATATAAACTTGAAAGTGCGAAACAAAAGAAAGGGGATAGAAAGGGCCAAAGGCAATGATAAGTGAAAGAGAGTGCTAGCATTGGAGCCATTGTTTCTTCACATTTTCACTTTCTCGATTTCTATGTCCATGAGCATGGGAGGCATCATGAGAAAGCAATGCAGGGCAACCCCTGGAAAATGTAAGCAACAATCCATGTTATCATTTCTTCCAGAAATTCAGCATTCGGCGCCACTTTATGTATATGAGGCTCCTTGACTTACTCCTGCACACTCACTTCTTCCAGGGATGTTAGACAAACAATCACCCACATTAGAAACAGCAGAACCAAACCTGCGCAACAAAAACTTATCATCCGCAACAATTCCATTGGATTTGAGGCCATCTTACCTTTGAGACAGGCCTCGGGCGCGTAGTTGCAGCCCACGCCTGGGTGATACTGTGAACTTGATTTCGATCCTCGCAGTTACCAGCTGACGCCAGTTTTGCTTAGGCTAATGCAACCCTTGGAGAACAAAAAGAACAGAGGTACCAAGCAGTAGTACACCTGTACAAAGCCAGCATGTGGACATCCTACTGTTATACACTTGTACTGGTCAAGTTGCTGTGTTCTTCAGGCGTACATGTCCTTTGGGATCTACCACTGACTTCATCAAACTTTTTGCTGATCCTCTCACAAATCTAGCAGTCGGTTATCACCCATCCTCGTTCTAGCGCTTCTCAGTTCATCACTCTTTTCTTTAATTTCCTCCTTGATACGCAAAGCTTCATGTTTCACTGATGTACCCACTATATCTAGTTATCTACACTACCTAAAATACGTATACTATAATACTTCAATTGGTGTCAATCTCAGGGATCAATTATGAAGGTGTGTTTCATCTTTGAATAATTGAAACTAATGTGCTACGAATTACTTGAAGTAATTTTCACCCTTACAAAGATCACCCTAAATATACTCTTTTATAAAATTTTCTTATTACAATTTGGTACATATACTGCAAATTGTTGTGTCGGTTCACTGAATCAACATAGTGGTACTACTGTACTTGCTGTATAGAGCAGTATCCCACCAGTTCCTTGTTGCAAAATGACCTCTGGGTTCACTGAATCGACATAGTGCCGCTGTACTTGCAATAACGTGGACATGATGATCATAACAGCATTTAGTGGTGACCAGCTTTTGGCAAACGGAGGATGGTAGTTTCCAACTTCCAAGGACAACAGACCACTAAATGCATTTGACTTCCATGAAATTAAGGATACAGAGATTGCAATCTATAATTGGCTTGGCTTGGTCAGGCCAACAAACTGTAGTAGTAGTACTATACTAGTGACAAACATGAGGAATAGGATATGCAGACTTACTGAGTTAGTTTAGACCGGAAGAAATGCTAGATTATGTGTTATGTTTGCAAAGCAAGATTGGATCCTACAGGTAAATGTTATTAAAAGCTGTACTGAAAGATCCAGGCTTTTAGGGGTCATTTCATGCACTGATGCTGTCTCCACTTAGACCAGAACAAATGATTAAAAAGGCATGGGAAAAAATCACTTCTGTTGTCTATATATCCGAAGAAAAACAACCACATGGGAGTGACAGTGTGGAGATTTGATGAACGAATTACCTGTAGTTTCTGTTTGGAATGCTCTTGAATTAACTACTATATCATAAAACTGCTGTGATAATGAGTCCATTCCTGCGATCAACACTTCCCTCCTGCTTGAATATAATCAGGACCGACATATATCTCAAGCTAGCCACAAGACTGCAGACAAGACCACACCATGGCACCGACACCCCTGATATGCAAGTTTCACATAATACAAGAGACAATATAAGACATCATTGCATTATCTTGACGCGATGTTAAACTGACATCATACGAAGATTACGTGATAATCTAAGCCGTCACACTACATAAGGACCCACTTTTACACAGAAGAAGACGCAGCTGGCCACAAGTAGAGCGCGGCTGCATCAAACTAGTCAACGGTTGTCACTATCACACATTTTTTACGAGTGGAATGGAACTAGCTTGCACCAGGGACTGCAATCTCTGAAGCCATTTCATAGACTGTCAAAAATGATCAGCCGTCGAACAAGTTGACCCTATAGTGGCCAGCAAGGTTCTTGATGGTCCCGTTTTGCACGATGTTCTCAAGCAAGTCGTATTTGTGGTAGTTGGCGTCAAGCATTATCTGCTGCTGAGCCGCCAGCTCCTTCTCCTCCTCCAGTATATTCTGAAGGAAGAAAAAAAGCTCAATGAGCTACGGCTCCTCAAAACACAAGTTGCAACCAAGAAGGATGAAAGCAACTGCATTGTGTTTTAAAGAACAGCAAGATCATGGTCAAAATCCACAAAGTGAAGTGTATAATGTAGGTAAGTTACATCCAAATGGTGCGAGCATGATAACGAATGCTAAAAGTATGCGTTGACATGTCTGGTCGCGATTGCATACGCCCTATTAATTAATTAGGTCCTACATTCTAGTACATTCCGGAGCAATGGTTTGTTCCTATAATAAGTACATAATAGAGATCAGTCATAAATCAACTAGTACTTCACCTTGATGAGCGCCATGTTCTCTGCTTCCTGCCTCTTTGCAAGGCTCTTGAGCTTGCTCATCCCATCATACTCCGGATCTCCTTGTTTCAGCCAAAGGAACTCCATCTTCGAGCCAGGCGGGCTCGGACGATCAGGAAACATCTCGGGCCTTGCCAAGCTAGCCCGGACAGGCCTGGGCATTCCGCCAATTATGAAGGGGAAGTCTCGCATCAAGTCCACAGCAGACTTGGCCTGCGACTCGTCGTCCAATTCCACCAGCGCGGCCGCAGGGATGTCGTACGGGATCGTGTAGTTCTCAACGAACTCCACGCTGACAACATTCGCACACTGGGAAAGAGCTGCTCTGATAACCTGCCTAGTAACCACAGGGGAGAGGTGGTCGATGTATATCGTCCTCTTGACCCTCGCCTCGAAATCGGCATACTCCTTCTCAGCATGCTCTCCCATCATATTCTCGTCATGTTCGTCCGGATTCGCCATGGGGGCGCCGAGTCCTGCAAGGCAGTAAATTGCAATGGTGGCTCAAAATGGCTGAGATTTCACTGTGGCAGCGCGGCAAATGTTGTGCAGGAGCATCTGCAAGGTTTTCCATTTATAATGAACAGCGCTGAAACTGAAAAACATAACAACAACAACAGTGGATTGCTGCTTATGAGAGCTCCAAGATTCCTATCATACTCTCAACATGTTCGTCGGGATTCGCCATGGGAGCGCCAAGCCCTGCAAGGCAGTAAGTTGCAACAGTGGCTTAAAATGGCTGAGATTTCACTGCTGGAGCGCAGCAAATGTTGTGCAAGAGCATCTGCAGGTTTTCCATTCATAATGAACAGCGCTGAAACTGAAAAACATACTCCCTCCATAAACTAATATAAGAGCATTTAGAATACTAAAGTAGTGATCTAAACGCTCTTATATTAGTTTACAGAGGGAGTAACAACTAAACAATGGATTGCCGTTCATCTCCCGAATCGGGCCCTGTGGTAGGAAGATGGGGGGTTCAGTTTAGGAACTAGGGTTTAAGGCGCCTCATCACAAGGTAAGCGCTGCGGCTGCCCCAGGGGCGGCAGGGGAGCGGAATCGGGGCGGGTCTAGATCGGAGATGGCGAAGATCCGTCGGATTTAGCTGAGGGCATGGTCATGGCTGGACGAGAACAGCATCGTACCTCGAATCCAGAGACTGCGGGCGGGCGGGCGGGCGGAGACGGCAGGGGCGCGGCGAGGAGGAACGGGGACGGTGATGGCGGCGACGGCGGCGACGCGGGTGGGGGAGGGAAGGAGACTGAAGCGTCGGCGGAACGGAACGGCTCAGGCGAGGAAGAGGAAATGGTGGTACGGGAACGGGAACGGGACGGTGGGACGTGGGAACGTTAGGTGCGAATTTGTATGATCGACAAGTATATCAAAGAACTAGTAACAGCATCTCAAAAACAAAAACTAGTACGTATAACAGACCATTCATATTCTTCAAAATACCAAAAAGTTAGATGATTTGTACCTAGTAATTTTGGAATATAATGTAGTACGGCGGCTTCGTGCGTTCATAATTTTTAAAAACTGCAAACTATGAAATATTCATATTTATAATTTTTCGTAAAAGAATGAGAAAATTTCATAATTTTATTACGGCTCATCCTTCATCTTTCTCCTCTCACTTACCGGTGCTTTGCGTATCCTCTATGGCCCATGCGACGTAGCACCTTATCTTCAACTCAGATGACATCTCTTGCACGAGGTTGTCAATACATTTAAGAGCATCTGTAGCAGATCATGTATGACCACGGCGAACTGTGTTTTCTCGGACGTTATACGGGACAGCCAAAAAAAGGCCTGCGCAGATCCTGCAATTGAGGAGCGGCCCGTGAACCGACCAGCTTTTTGATATATATATATATATAAGGGGGCGTGTGGTCATTTAGGGTTCCTATCCGTCATTCCCCGCATCCATCTTCGCCGCAAAATTCACCTCTCTAGCAGCGATTTACGGCGCCTCCGGCCACCGGATCTTGGCGGTGATGGCGTCGCGGGTGCAAGGCGTGGCGGCGACGGTGTTCGGCGGGCGCGGTGGGTTCGGGTGCCGCGGGGGGTTCGGCGGCCGTGGTGGGTTCGTCGGTCACAAGAGGCGCAACGATGACAAGGCCTCCAGCTCCTCCCTCGGCCCTCCATGTCGGAGAAGCGCTGGGAGCAGGCGCGCACCCGCGGCGCGAAGTCCCGCAGCGCCGGCTCGCGGACGTGGGTGAGTTTCCGACCTAGCCATCGAGCACCTCCGGGCGACCGAGCGTGTGTGCTAGGAGGCGAAGGCCGCCGCTGCCGCCGGAGATGCGGTTGCAACCACGCAGTTGCCGGCGCTCCGGGATGAGTATCAGCTCCAATAAACCCTCTCCGGCACGCTGATCTACCACACGCTGCACGACAACGAGCCCCCGCCCCGTGAGGCCATCTCCGGCGAGGAGGGCGACAACAGCGATGACGACGAATCAGGCGAGGAGTAGATGCTGGTAGTTTTAGGTTTAGGTTTAAGTTTATCTACTACTCCCTCCGTCCCATAATGTAAGACTCTTACATTATGGGACGGAGGGAGTATGTTTTTAAGTTTGTGTGTAGTGTGTGAGATGAACTCCGGTGAACTATGGTGGTGCGAAGTTGAAGTTTAAATTATGCAGTATCATATACCAGATCTGTTCTGCCGTGCGTTCCGCGGTACCGCATATTCATTTTAGAGGATCTCTTAATTTTTTTGACAAAGGGTGGATTTTATTAACTCAAAATGAAGCATCAAGTGGATACAAACACGATGAGCACACATCCGGCCTCTGCATAACAAAAGATGCACACATCCAACACCAAGTCACACAGTAATGAACACGCTGAAAAAAGGCAAAGTCATATAAGACCAAAGCTATGCCCATGCGACAAAAAAAGAAAATAACTCGAAGCGATCAAAACAACGATCAACAAACTACATCAACGACCTTATCCGCACCAACCATCTTTTGACACCACAAGGACAACGATGTTCTTCAACAGCAATGCCTTCAGGAAGGGAACGACGCCTAAGCGCCGCCATCATCGAATCAAACCACTATAGGCTAGATTTTAGGTTTTCACCCTGAAGAAACAGATCCAAGCAATTCCGAGCAATGCCTTCAACAAGGTAACAACAGAAATACATCGTCATTGTCAGGTATAACCAATTCGTGTCATACCTAGGGTTTTCACCCCGGAGCTCGAGACCGGGTACTCAAGAAGCACCACCAAATCAAAGTCAAACCTATGTTGTCGCCGCCACTTTTCCACTGCCCGAGCGGCTACATGTCATGGGAAAATTCCCATCATCTGTGCTGCACAATCATATCTTTTGCGTCAAGTCATCATCCACAGATTGGCTCTCATCACTGTCCAAAGCAAACCGATTGAAGTGGGAACCGTCAAACCCACAACAGGCATTCCGACTCATCCCACAATCACACCAGTTTGAGTTGCCGGCAACGGCCATCAAATCTGGAGAGAAACCCTCATGAAGACAGTTCGGTGATCACCGCAAACTGCAGCTCAAGAGGCCATTGATGCCGCCACGATAAGGTCTGAAGGATTCAGCGTTGAATCGAAGCACGGGAAACCCCAGAACTTCCCCAGACCCGTCGCACCCTGAAACGCCATCGCAGGCACAAATCAGGGTCGTGGCTCCGGCTACCTTCCCAAATCCCGCCGTGAGATGTCATCCCATGAGAAGGAGCCGCCAGATCTCTTAACTGAAATTTATGGTACGACATTTTACAGGATCTGCTAGAGATGCTCTAATGATAGTATCAGATTGGCCAAAATAGGTAGAAAGAACATAGTAATATTTAGCAAACTAGCTACAATATTCGTGTTGTGGTAATAACGTGTTTTGCCTACAGTTGTGTCCTTAACATCAGTGTAAAAAGTAATGAATGTGAGATACATGCCCCACCTTTAGAGTTATAATGTCCTCGTGGTTTGTGGTAAACCTGTTCATGGGAAGCCCGGCCTGACAATCTGGCCAGAGCCCGGTCATCTTGTCTCTCAGGGTGGGCTCGGGCTTCATTTTACAACTCAAAACAATGTTCTGGCTGGGCTCGGGATTCCATTTCTCACATTTTCAGGCCAGGCTTTCGGGCTTCGGGCCAGGCATACACGTGTGTAAACTGAAAAACTGCATTCAGGCCAAGCTTTCGTGCTTCAGGCTTGCATTCGGGCCAGGCTCGGGCTTGGGAGTGCACATATTTTCGGGCTTCCGAGCCGGGCTCGAGCTTGGGATTTTCACTTCGGGCTTTTTCAAGCCCGGCCCGAAACACAGCCCGACCAGGGTATGATCAGGTTTAGTTTGCGCTAAGCATGGGCCTTTTCTGCTCCGTCTTGGTTTAAACATTTTTGGTCAACTTCCAGCGTTTCTGTGTGCGCTCCCTATGACATCCTCACTACTATCACTTTTATCCGCCTCCAACAACATCCCACGCCAACCACTAAGGTGGATGAATATAGCATACAACTGTTGAGTTCAAGTGATCACACAATATCATTCATAAATGATTCACTAATTAAGTCTTTGTTATTGCTCGTCATTGAAAATTACACCATAGAATGGGGTTGACCCTAATGGCCTTATCCTCTTGTTTCGCTCTTTGCCACTAGCGACCTCCTTCTACTGATGACTAGTGTTATATGATATAGTTAAACTATATTGCCACTAACACAAATATGCATAGTCTAGCAGAGAACCATAAATAGGCAAAGTAGAAGAAAAATGCATTCATTAATAAATAGCATATCAGTAAGTGGTATATCAATGGCTTCAGTTGAGGCTAAATCATATGATATCATTGATTTAGGAGAGTTACAATTAGCATTGGTCAGTTAAAAAATCAATATGATACTAAACTGCTACTTGGATTAATCAAATTGATTAATCTTTAGAAGTGTGATATATATAGTCTCAAGTCACCACCTTGGTCCTGACCATTTTCACCATTGTAGTCTGCCTATATCCATTAGTTGAACGTTGATTAGGCAAAAAACTATGCTTAATATTGGCCGCAAACAACATGAGTGTTACCCTTTCAATAAGAAGAAGAAATTATAATTTGTACAAAGTGGTCATAGTTTGATAGAGGACATGTCGAAAATAATTAGACAGGAAAGGGTGCAGATTACTCCTAAATTTGGATGCCATTATCTTTAGTTAATGATTATGCCCCTCTGGATGATGTCATCAAAGGCGGGGAGGGCTACCTTGATATATATAATTCTTGTGACATTGAAGATGCATCAGTTCCTTTAGTTCCACACATTGCGCATGATGTAGTTGATGTGACTGCTATGTCTTCATTCTTGGTTCGTGTCAAATATCTCAAGACTATATCCCATTTAGGCATCAATTGGTGAAAATTGATTGTAGATCCTATTGGGAGTTGATCATATGCCCAAGCTTATCACCCTTAGCATTTTGTTCTTCCATTTATCTCATGTCTATATGCTCGACTATTTATGTAGTTCTCACATATGTATGTCTCCTGGTTATATGGGTAGAGACTATGGTGGGACACATCTAGTTGTGTGTTCACTATTTTTTGAGCAATTGCAAGTTTTTGATGCACAATATGTCTTGGTTTTGCTTGGTCTTTCTCATTTATATTATCCTTGTCCACAATGATTGACCTTGGGAGTTCTAGGAGGGTTGTCTTACAT